CAATAAAGCTTCACGAGATAACCATTCAAATTAAATACCCCATTTCCATGTGGCACACACCCATTGCTTCCACCATTTCATTTCTTGCGACCTTCATTTGGACCCACTACTGATAATTTTATTTAACCCTATAAGTTAGTTCAAGTAATAACAAAGATAAGCTTTAAAATCAGACGTTTTGAATTCGAATCTTGACAATCTCTTAAGGTTAAGTTATAAAAAAGTTTATCTTTTATGAATATCTTAATTTTGGTATAAATGATCTATCTTTGACCGAACCTGATAAGGAATTAGAAGAGATGCGCGTAAGCTGACTCATATACCTCTAACCATTGAACCCCAAAAAAAAAAACGACAATTTCATTTTTTGATCCACCAATTCTTGATCAATTTTGTTTTTTTTTTACAAGAAATTTGCCTTTTTCCATTGCTTTCCCTTTCTTTCACTTAGCGACCTAGTTGGTTCATATAAAGAGCTAATAGCACTAGGATAATCTGATTCCACCTCAATCCTCTTTATTGTTTCTCAATAGTGGGGATTAAACAATTGATAATTAGATGTGACAAAAAAAAAAGAGTAAACGATTGAACGTGTCATTTTTGATTATCATATGTGGTGCATAAATTGTATATATCAATGATTTATGTGCACTTCAATTCACAAAAAATGTTATATATGCACTCTGATTACATTGTTACGTAGACGCTCTAGATATTACGAATGAAAGAATAATGATAAAACAACACAAAGAGAGTAATTGTCAAATATTGATCAAATTAAGTTGAAAAGCTTAGGTAAAGCTCTTTGGGAGCTATTTTAAAAACTGAAACTCGGATTGACCACACCAGAAGGTTTGTTGCAAGGAAGTTAGAATTACAATGAAAAAGCACTACATTCATGTTGGTTAAACCCACTTATAAATTCCTTCTAGTGGTCCTTAATGTTACGATTTCTTGAAATCTTTTACATTTGTCCCATATTGATGAGTTCCTAAGATTGAGATTTTAGAAGAAATCCTGAGGGTAAATAACGTGATAAATTCAAGATCAGGTATTACTATTGTGAAAAATTAGGATACTATAAAAGCGAGTGCCACAAATTGAGAAGACCCAATAATAAAAATTATCATGCTAAAATTACATAGGATAATAATGATAATGATAATTCAAAGANACTACATGAGAGAACGAAGCATATAGAGATCGATGTTCACTTTCTTCGGGAGAAGGTCAGCAGTGGTCTTGTTACTCCATCGTTTGTGGGGACCAGTGATCAAGTTGCGGATGTTTTTACCAAACCTGTCACTCTGTCTATTCTTCGGGACTCCGTTGTCAAGCTTGGCTTAGTTGACATTTTTGCGCCTAGCTTGAGGGGGAGTGTTGGAGTATAGATAGTCTAGGTTTATTAGGATTTCTTTTCCTAGGTTTATTAGGATTTCTTTTCCCTTTTTTACCTTTACTATGATTTTTATATTTTGCATATATATACGGGGTTTTACTCTTAATTTGAGTATCTCCTTTTACTCACAATTATTTCAAGTCTATAGCTTTTGGATTGATTGTGAATCCCATCAATTATTAGAATTTAGTATTAATCCAGTAATTTTACTAAAGTCACATCATTGGGTTAACAAATTAGGTTATATTTTTAGGTTTAAATAGTATTATTAAAAAAAAAACTAATGACAAGGCCACCACTTACCAACCACTAGTAGCCAACTGATTAGGAATTTGCATGCTTTGCATTGCAAAACGGTTAAAGATCTTAGGCCTTTCTGTTGTTTTTCATTGATATGATATAGATGGGGAGGGTAGCCATAAAGGCTTACCCGTGAGCCAAATCAACATATCTTTAAGATGTATCTTTAACTCCATTAATAACACAGAAGAAACCTTTTTTCCCAAAAGGATTTCATTCCCCTTTCAGTGGACAATAAAGCTTCACGAGATAACCATTCAAATTAAATACCCCATTTCCATGTGGCACACACCCATTGCTTCCACCATTTCATTTCTTGCGACCTTCATTTGGACCCACTACTGATAATTTTATTTTAACCCTATAAGTTAGTTCAAGTAATAACAAAGATAAGTTTTAAAATTAGACGTTTTGAATTCGAATCTTGACAATCTCTTGAGGTTAAGTTATAAAAAATTTTATCTTTTATGAATACCTTAATTTTGGTATAAATGATCTATCTTTGACCGAACCTGATAAGGAATTAGAAGAGATGCGCGTAAGCTGACTCATATGCCTCTGATCATTGAACCCCAAAAAAAAAAAACGACAATTTCATTTTTTGATCCACCAATTCTTGATCAATTTTGTTTTATTTTTACAAGAAATTTGTCTTTTTCCATTGCTTTCCCTTTCTTTCACTTAGCGACCTAGTTGGTTCATATAAAGAGCTAATAGCACTAGGATAATCTGATTCCACCTCAATCCTCTTTATTGTTTCTCAATAGTGGGGATTAAACAATTGATAATTAGATGTGACAAAAAAAAAGAGTAAACGATTGAACGTGTCATTTTTGATTATCGTATGTGGTGCATAAATAGTATATATCAATGGTTTATGTGCACTCCAATTCACAAAAAATGTTATATATGCACTCTGATTACATTGTTACGTAGATGCTCTAGATATTACGAATGAAAGAATAACGATAAAACAACACAAAGAGAGTAATTGTCAAATATTGATCAAATTAAGTTGAAAAGCTTAGGTAAAGCTCTTTGGGAGCTATTTTAAAAACTGAAACTCGGATTGACCACACCAGAAGGTTTGTTGCAAGGAAGTTAGAATTACAATGAAAAAGCACTACATTCAAGTTGGTTAAACCCACTTATAAATTCCTTCTAGTGGTCCTTAATGTTACGATTTCTTGAAATCTTTTACATTTGTCCCATACTGATGAGTTCCTAAGATTGAGATTTTAGAAGAAATCCTGAGGGTAAATAACGTGATAAATTCAAGATCAGGTATTACTATTGTGAAAAATTAGGATACTATAAAAGCGAGTGCCACAAATTGAGAAGACCCGATAATAAAAATTATCATGCTAAAATTACATAGGATAATAATGATAATGATAATTCAAAAACTTTGTTTTTTATATTCAAAAGAACACATACTATAGAAAAACAAAACAAATCACAAAGNACTTTGTTTTTTATATTCAAAAGAACACATACTATAGAAAAACAAAACAAATCACAAAGCCCTAAATTCAAAACCCTAACAATGTGATGCTATAAAAAACATAAATTCAGTACAGAATTTTTCTAATGTGATCCACTATTATTCGATTATTCCAAAACATAGGATCATCAATATCATCACATTTATCGATACACAATTGTCAGTTTAGCATTTATCATCAAAAAATCAACTGCAACATGTTTAATCCATTATATGAATTTTGCTTGTCGATTGAACAAAGACAGACCTTTGGCCCCAAAAGAAAAGTATATAAAAGGAGAATATCTTGCATATTCTCCATCCAAAAAGGTGAAGTACATCAACCTACAGAAACTAAACACTTAAAAGTGTTGCACTTACCAAAGTTTTAAATTTACACAGAGACCCACAAGGAAATTATCTGCATTCAAACACGCCAAAATTATCTTTCAAGTGGAAAATTTAATGCCCTCTGTAAATGGTGGTTCCTTTCAAGCAGTCCTTCCATTATGACTCTCTTTTTGTTATCCCTCGACGTCTCTGTCTCCGGTAACTTTGTTATAGTTTCCGGTCTCTGGTGAGAAACACTCCGGCCAGGAAGAAAGTAGAGCCATACTGATGTAAGCAATATTGCCCAAAATTTACCCCAAAAGATGATAAAAAAGAGAGCGACAAGAATAGAAAATAACACTGANTGGTGAGAAACACTCCGGCCAGGAAGAAAGTAGAGCCATACTGATGTAAGCAATATTGCCCAAAATTTACCCCAAAAGATGATAAAAAAGAGAGCGACAAGAATAGAAAATAACACTGAATTTGAACTTGACAAATAAGATACGACTGAATAATTTGTAAGGGTCTGTCTTTTCTGATTAAACGAATTGGATTGAGACCGAGCCAAAGACTTCTTTATAGACAATGATCGAAAATNAATAACACTGAATTTGAACTTGACAAATAAGATACGACTGAATAATTTGTAAGGGTCTGTCTTTTTTGATTAAACGAATTGGATTGAGACCGAGCCAAAGACTTCTTTATAGACAATGATCGAAAATTTTTTGCCTCAGATGACGAACTCGAACACAAAGAAGAAGATAGAGACACAGAAACAGTTGAATTTGGTCTGGGTTTTTGGGTATTACTTTCAGGCAAATCTAAGTTCACTGATTTATCAGTTAAAACGTCCGAAATCAAATCAGTCTTTAATGGCAAAGTCAGTTGATAAACCCTTCTATTACGAACTCTCTTTCTCTGCAAAAATAATAAAAGATTTATCAGGTTTTATCAAGTCTTCAANCAGTTGAATTTGGTCTGGGTTTTTGGGTATTACTTTCAGGCAAATCTAAGTTCACTGATTTATCAGTTAAAACGTCCGAAATCAAATCAGTCTTTAATGGCAAAGTCAGTTGATAAACCCTTCTATTACGAACTCTCTTTCTCTGCAAAAATAATAAAAAATTTATCAGGTTTTATCAAGTCTTCAAACCATTATAAGTATATTGTATATGTACATACATACATATATATATATATATATATAGAGAGAGAGAGAGAGAGAGAGAGAGAGAGAGTTGTATATACTGTAAAGAACAACTGACCAGTGAAACTTGGAATAGAATGGCTTTCAGAACTCGGCAAAAGTTTGGCGGTGAAGAGCCTTTTTCTGGACGAGGGTAGGAAACTTTAAGGCTTTCATTGTCTGAAACCAATGATTTGACTGTTGAAACTCCATCGTCAGAGCGANATATATATATATAGAGAGAGAGAGAGAGAGAGAGAGAGAGAGAGTTGTATATACTGTAAAGAACAACTGACCAGTGAAACTTGGAATAGAATGGCTTTCAGAACTCGGCAAAAGTTTGGCGGTGAAGAGCCTTTTTCTGGACGAGGGTAGGAAACTTCAAGGCTTTCATTGTCTGAAACCAATGATTTGACTGTTGAAACTCCATCGTCAGAGCGATCAAGAAATCTCGGTTTTGTGTCCTTTTCTTCTATGACCATGGGTCGAAGGCATAGGAAGAACTTCTTCTTCATTGTGCTATGTCACTAGCTGATCTTGGGGCTTCGAAGATGGTGAAGCCTTTCGTGGATATGATTTTTAGAGAGAGAAAGGGTCGAGGTTTGAAATCTTCTATATGCTGTGAGAGAGGAAGCCGATGGGATGCTTTGTTTTGTTGGGTGGCGATTGGTGGTTCTGTTGGAGAAGTCGGCAATGCCAATGTTTCGTTTGTTTCGGAAAGTACACTTGTTCCTACACTAATATAAGGACTTACAACAGCATTAGGAGCAACTTGTCCTTAAAAAAACCAAAAAAATAGTAATTATCAACAAGATATGAATTTATTAGGCATTAACCAATTAGAGCAGGGATTACCCATGTCGACATTAACACAATACTTTAAGAGTAATGTTATATGAACTTAAAAAATAGACTTAAAAATTAGATTTAAAAATCTCAACCATTGATTTTACTGTGGGTTCTAACATTTATTGGGACCCACTACTTATTCAATATTTGAGATTATCAAGTCTAATTTTTAAATTTATTTTTTAAATTCATGTATCATTACTCATATTTTAATTTACAAGTGAGGTGTGTATCGGATCATTTAACAAGTGATACCAACAAAATACCACAGTATATGACTCAGATAAAACTCCTATGCAAAAGGGACGGTCCAACCCATATGAGGCTCCAAGCGAAGTATTCAATAAGGCCCTAGTGCTATGTAATATAAATATAAAAATATATTCATTTAAAAAAAAAAGATATTGTATTTGAGAGATAAAATTATTAGTTTTGCATTCAAGTTTTAGTTATAAAAAAATCCATAAATTGAAGTTGAATTTAAAAACTAAAATATCTATATAATAAAACACATAANTGTTTCGTTTGTTTCGGAAAGTACACTTGTTCCTACACTAATATAAGGACTTACAATAGCATTAGGAGCAACTTGTCCTTAAAAAAACCAAAAAAATAGTAATTATCAACAAGATATGAGTTTATTAGGCATTAACCAATTAGAGCAGAAGGGATTACCCATGGCGACATGAACACAATACTTTATGAGTAATGCTATAGGAACTTAAAAAATAGACTTAAAAATTAGATTTAAAAATCTCAACTATTGATTTTACTGTGGGTTTCAACATTTATTGGGACCCACTACTTATTTAATGTTTGAAATTATCAAGTCTAATTTTTAAATTTATTTTTTAAGTCCATGTAGTATTACTCAAATTTTAATTTACAAGTGAGGTGTGTATCGGATCATTTAACAAGTGATACCAACAAAATACCACACTATATGACTCGATAAAACTCCTATGCAAAAAGGGACGGTCCAACCGATATGAGGCTCCAAGTGAAGTATTCAATAAGGCCCTAGTGCTATGTAATATAAATATAAAAATATATTTATTTATAAAAAAAAAGATATTGTATTTGAGAGATAAAATTATTAGTTTTGCATTCAAGTTTTAGTTATAAAAAAAATCCATAAATTGAAGTTGAATTTAAAAACTAAAATATCTATATAATAAAACACATAAGAAATTGAATTTTATGCCTTACATATTTTTCCCTCAAAAATATCACATCACCTAATTTTATCACATGTTTAATTATTTAATATTTGATTAATTTGTAGTTTAACATAATTTTTATTTCATTCTTTGTCCATACACGATAGTATACACATGTTAAGAAAATTTTGTCGAATTACACATTTTTGAGAAAATTGATGCTATTTTTAAGAAAATNAAAATATCACATCACCTAATTTTATCACATGTTTAATTATTTAATATTTGATTAATTTGTAGTTTAACACAATTTTTATTTCATTTTTTGTCCATACACAATAGTATACACATGTTAAGAAAATTTTATCGAATTACACATTTTTGAGAAAATTGATGCTATTTTTAAGAAAATAATAGGTAAAAAATTAATTTTAAATAATGTAATCAAATAAACAAAGAAATAAAAATTTATTATTTGGTATAATATAATCAATTTTTTAAATGCTCGAATTTTGTATTTCATCGTGTTTTCAGGCACAGGATATGACTAGTAATTAAAAATGTTATCAATTGAAAATATAGATAAAGAGAATTAAAATTTATTAATATAATAAAAATATTTTTCAAAAAACAAATGTCAGTAAAAAATTTGAAGACCCATTGTAATACTATTTANAAATTAATTTTAAATAATGTAATCAAATAAACAAAGAAATAAAAATTTATTATTTGATGTAATAGAATCAATTTTTTAAATGCTCAAATTTTGTATTTTATCGTGCTTTCAGGCACAGGATATGACTAGTAATTAAAAATGTTATCAATTGAAAATATAGATAAAGAGAATTAAAATTTATTAATACAATAAAATTATTTTTCAAAAAACAAATGTCAGTAAAAAATTTGAAGACCCATTGTAATACTATTTAATTGGGGCCCTAGACGGCAGTCTTAATGGCCTATGTCTACAGCCGGCCCCAGCCGAACATGTGTAAGTGTGTACACAACAATGCATAATTGTATTTTTCTCATTAATATGCAAATTTTATTCCACTTGGTTTTGTCCAACACAACTTTGTCAACTAATAGCAATTGGATTCTACTCTTCTGTCAAACCAAGGCAAACTTATTGGTGAGACAAGGTCCGAGGGCGATGGGTGATATAAGATGACATGTCAAGTTTTCTTTTTTTGTTGGACCATTTCCAACTCAGACCTTTCTTGATTACGAACTACCATCAAGACCATTCGATATTCATATCGACCTGTAGATCAGGAGCACAACAAGTCTTCTATGATTTAAATATAGGGTTGTGTTCTTTCATTAAAAGTATTTAAGATTTTCCTATGGATAATTGAAATTATTATTGGTGTTTTTCACAAATTGTAAATTTATAACGCATAAAATTAATCAAAACTTCGTCAATGCTCAACATCAAACGGTTAAATCAGCAGTATAATATTAGTAAGAGTCATTATAAGTTGTGAGTAAATACTTGCCCAAAAAAAAAAAGTTTGCCTATAAATACGTTCTAAGTCTAACTCATGCACCGCTTTAATGGACGAACAACCCAATCTTTGGAACATATTATATATAGGTCTAGGTGGCAAAGAACCAACATCAACATGCCAAACTTGCCCGTGAGTATTTATCACCTCTTTCAAGTTGGAATACTAATTTAATCAAATTAAACTTAAGCTTTCTAACTTTAATCAGCCTTAACTTTATACCCGGATATCGCACTAGACAATGTGATATATGTTTTCCATACAGAATTTCATTCTTTATACACTAATTATAGTGTTATCTTCTACAACACGATGATTTTTATAAAATTTATCTCCTTTTTCAAATTATCACACTAGTTCAATCAAATTAACATTTTTAATTTTGATCAATCTTAACTTCATACTCGAATTATCACATTTAGGATAATACATGATTTTTACGCAAAATTTTACGCTCAGNAAAATCAATAATTGAGATTATCAAATCTAATTTTTAAGTCTACTTTTTTCAGTTCACGTAGCATTACTCGTGTTGTGTGTTTCTACCTTGACCAAGTCTGGTCTATCGTTTCAATGTGTTCAACACAACTTTGTCAACTAACAGCAATTGGATTCTACTCTTCTGTCAAACCAAGGCAAACTTACTGGTGAGACAAGGTCCAAGGGCGTTAGGAGATATAAGCTGGCCAGTAATAACTCGTGCTCAAAGGTGTCATGAAATATAAAATTCAAATATTCAAAAATTCAATCTCATTATATTAAATAATAATTTTTCTTTCATTCATTTATTTGATTATATTATTTGAAATTTATTTTTACCCATTATTTTTTTAAAAATATTGACAAAAATACATAATTCGACAAAAATTTCTCAAAAATGTGTATATTATCGTGTATAGATAATATCTGAAATAAAAATTATATTAAATTATAAATTAATCAAATATTAAATGATTAAACATGTGATATAACTAAGTGATGGGATGATTTTAGGAGAGAAAATACGTATGGGATAAAATTTTAAACACCTAACTGTTTTATTATATACATATTTCAAGTTTTTGGAGGTAATATTGGATGGTTTTTTGACCATTTCCAACTCAGACCTTTCTTGATTGCGAACTACCATCAAGATCTTTGGACTTGAAATAAGACCTGCAGATTAGAAGCACATCAAGTCTTCTATGATTTAAATATAGGGTTATGTTCTTTCATTAAAAGTATTTACGATGTTCTGATGGATAATTGAAATTATTAATGATATTTTTCATAAATTGTTAATTTATAGCACGTAAAATGAATCAAAGCGTCGTCCATGCTCAACAACAAATGGTTAAATCACTCTTATAAGTTGTGTGTAAATACTCATAGAAAAAAGAAAGTTTGTCTGTAAATTGTGTAAAGTATGTCATTAGATGAATCAACTTTCATTGGCAGAAGAATCATTTGAATGCAATGAATTTTTCTTCAATTCACAGTACATGATTTGTCATTTAAAAAACTTAAAAAGACATAATTCCAAGTAAATTTGAATTGGTTGAAGGAACCATGGGAAGACCAAAAAGTTAAAAAAGACGGTAGCTTCCATGTTGTCTCGTATATATCAATGGTTTATAATCAAAAGTGCATTTTTCTTAATTCTTTCATACTAAAAAAGGTCTTTTTAATGCTCTAACACTCACAACTGAACTGTCTTAGGACATTATAAGTCCNTTCTGATGGATAATTGAAATTATTAATGATATTTTTCATAAATTGTTAATTTATAGCACGTAAAATGAATCAAAGCGTCGTCCATGCTCAACAACAAATGGTTAAATCACTCTTATAAGTTGTGTGTAAATACTCATAGAAAAAAGAAAGTTTGTCTGTAAATTGTGTAAAGTATGTCATTAGATGAATCAACTTTCATTGGCAGAAGAATCATTTGAATGCAATGAATTTTTCTTCAATTCACAGTACATGATTTGTCATTTAAAAAACTTAAAAAGACATAATTCCAAGTAAATTTGAATTGGTTGAAGGAACCATGGGAAGACCAAAAAGTTAAAAAAGACGGTAGCTTCCATGTTGTCTCGTATATATCAATGGTTTATAATCAAAAGTGCATTTTTCTTAATTCTTTCATACTAAAAAAAGTCTTTTTAATACTCTAACACTCACAACTGAACTGTCTCAGGACATTATAAGTTCAACTCATGTACCACTTTAATGGACAAACAACCCAACCTTTGGAACACACTATAACCCTAGGGTACAAAGAGCCGACATCGACGTGCCAAACNCAACTCATGTACCACTTTAATGGACAAACAACCCAACCTTTGGAACACACTATAACCCTAGGGTACAAAGAGCCGACATCGACGTGCCAAACTTACCCCCGTCAATATTTATCACCTCTTTCAAGTTGGAATACTAATTTAATCAAATTAAACTAAACTTTATAACTTTAATCAATCTTAATTTTGTACCCAGATATCACACTAGACAATGTGATATATGTTTTCCATATATAATTTCATTTTTCACGCACTAATTATAGTGTTAGTGTTATCTTCTGCAACACAATTTTTCTAAAATTTGTCACCTCTTTCAAATTTTAACACTAGTTCAACCAAATTAGCCATTTTAACTTTAATCAATCTTAACTTCGTACTCGAATTATTACATTCAGGATAATACATGATTTTTACACAAAAGTTTACGATCAATGTTGTGTGTTTCTACCTTGACCAAGCCTGGTCTATCGTTTCAATGTGTTCAAAAATTAGAAAAGTGGCATTGTATTACTACAGCTAACACCACTCAAACAAACAAGCCAAAACAACTGTTACGAGATGTTCACAAGGCATCTATGGAAAAACAATTTTTATGTAAAAGATCACAAACATACAAACAAACAAACAAACAAAATGAAACAGGAAACAGAACACAAGATTACGTGTTTTAGCTCCAAAGCTTGCAACTATGGGTAAAGATNCAAAATGAAACAGGAAACAGAACACAAAAGATTACGTGTTTTAGCTCCAAAGCCTGCATCTATGGGTAAAGATCAATGGCAAAAGTTCCTATAAAGATGAAGATTACTAAAAAAAANATGAAACAGGAAACAGAACACAAGATTACGTGTTTTAGCTCCAAAGCTTGCAACTATGGGTAAAGATCAATGGCAAAAGTTCCTATAAAGATGAAGATTACTAAAAAAAACCCTCAAAATGAAACAAAAATAAGAGAATTCAATTGCTTCTCGCAGCCAACAATTTACAATAGTTACAACTGAAAAAGTACATAGTTTTCCAATTGGATTAGATTTCTAGAAACAAGTAATCCAAAAAAATTTGATTCCGGTGCAACGACCCAGCCTGGAGCACATGAACTAGGGTTCAGGGAATTTACCAAGTAAAACTGAAAGAGTTATATATCAGATCAGCACCGTATCAGAGCAGAATATAAGCATCCACAACGACATCTAAGTGATCGACATAAAACCATTCCCCGTTCTCAAATCCAGATTAATTGTCACAACCATTTGGAAGCAAAATGTGCATTACTGTGAACTGCAAATGCAAAACAAACATCTAAAGCTTCAGTTTTCAAGATCAGCACTATTTTTTTTTAACAATTAGCACATTTGGTTATCAAGTTTTTCATCCATGAAACCATGTTGAACTTTGCCTAGACATAAAGTCCTATCAAATAATAGAAAATTATGCAACCCAAAAGATGCAATATTCAACACAAATTACTTTCAATTCGGTACCAACAGAGTTTGTCATGATGTAAACAAAGAACAGCAAGGGATCACACATTTAGTCCTGTTGTCATCATCAACACTATAACCTGTTTGGCAAGTAGAACTCGTGAAGGGAAAAACATCAAACTTGTATGTCGTATGCTTAATAGATGATTATTGTTATCGTGTGATTTTTGCAAGAAATGAAGAGTTGAAATTTCTATGGTTGTCAGTATTGCTAGCTCATAACAGCTTTGACAAGGATAACTCTAATAGTGACCCGCAGATCACAAAGAAGCAATGGCACTAAATATTACTCAGTTTGTTTCCCTTGTCCAAAGACATGCTATTAAACTCAAAATTGGCTAACATGTACACCGCTTCAAGTGACATGCCAACATTAACCAACATTTGAGTAACCAATCATNGCTCATGGCACTAAATATTACTCAGTTTGTTTCCCTTGTCCAAAGACATGCTATTAAACTCAAAATTGGCTAATATGTACACCGCTTCAAGTGACATGCCAACATTAACCAACATTTGAGTAACCAATCATTTAAGATCACCAATGCATCATATTTTTTTTTCTTTTTGAGGCATGCACACATTCTAATTACGAGTTTCTCAGTTCCAAGTAGACTCGCTTACTTTTGTCAATCATTCACCTCTTTAGATGAGATTTTCATAAAAAAAAACAATTTCGTTCTGATTTTGAAAAGCAATATCCATGACATAATATGACGAATATAAATCAATTTTCACATCCATGGATAAAGAAATGAAAAAAAAAATTGATTATGTGTTGGATTTTCCTCTCGTCAACTTCCAATTACTAGACAATCAATTTCTAACTATAGCATTAAGTATTCTTGTATAAAATGCAGAATATGATTCCTTAACTCTTAGTGCAGTGCTCAAATTCATCTGCATTTTATTTTCTTTAGGACTTGGAATTTCTTGGTGATATGGTGTACCTGGACCAACAGGAAGCATTTGAGGGGTTGCTCTCTGCGAGGATGACTCGGTGAAGAAATCTATATGCTCCTGGTTGTCAACAAACATTTCAATAGATCATGGAATTGGAGGCAGGTTTACATCCAAAACCCCTTCAAGAATCTGCACTACCTAACCCATTGATGGCCTACAACTTTCATCATCTAGGATGCACCAGCAAGCAACTCTGCACATTCTTGTCACCTCTTCAGTTTCCGCAATCCTATCCAACCTATGGTCTAATAGGCTAAGGACGTTGCCTCCTTCTATTGTTATGCTTGCAGCCCAAGTTGGCAAGAATTTAACTTTCTCGTCTTGAAATTGCTGAGTATCACCTTCCGGATAAATTCAAAAAGCATCAGTCTACAGCTATAACCATCAGCCTTCCTGATATCCATTCAGGTACAAGATAGCCTCTTGTCCATCTCATGGTTGTGAGAACCCTACTAAACTCATGCCCAACAAGCTTTGCCAAACCAAAATCTGCCACTTCTGGAAAGAATTCATCTTCTAAAAGAATGTTTTCTGGCTTTATGTGACAATGTATGATGCAGTCCCTGCACTTCTCATGGAGATAAACCAACCCTCTGGCTGTCCCCAGTGCAATTTGGTACCTTATTTTCCAGTCCAAAGGCTTTGAATCCTCATCATGGAAAAGATGGGAATCCAAGGAGCCATTTGGTGAGCAATCATACACCACCAACTTTTTTGAATCTTCAGAGCAAAACCCACGAAGCCCTACAAGGTTAACCCGTTGGTTTGTCTGAAGTGTGCTGACTTCTGTCCGAAATTGCTTCACTCCTTGGCTGATGCTTTCAAGCTTCTTTACAGCTATGACAGTTGAATCCGGCAACTTTCCTTTGAAAACAGAACCAAAACCTCCTCTACCCAAATTCTCTGAGAAGTTTTTGGTTGCATTTTGCAAATCCTTGTGTACCCAAAAACCACCAACAAACCTTCTACTGCATTTGCAGTGCTGACCAATCTCCTTTCCCGTCTCGAAATTATGACCCAAACAAGGCTTAAGAATACAAGTATAACTGTAGCCGACCCCAAAACGGCACCAATAATACTAGCCCTACCACTACTTTTAACACTAGCAAACTTTGACAGAGATAGTTCTCCCACTCCCATCGTCTGGCAATTGCCGCAAATGCAAGAGGTATTCATTCCAAATTGAACAACCATTGTTATCGTAAGCATAGGCAGTGCAAGAACACTTATTCAAGCAGGTGGATTCACATTCTGAGCTCTGGCAACTGCCACAGATTGAGAATCTTCAATAGATTCCATGTGGGAATATATCGAGCACCTATCTCTCTCTCCATTATCTGTACTCGATTTCCAACACTGCCTGTTGTTTTTGTCAAACACTCACCAAAATTGTCATCCAGGTTCCAATCAATATCCGACCTAGGCCTGAAATCATTCAAACCATTACAGAATGGCAATGAATTCTGATTATGGGTACCAAATACCCCATAAAAAGCATAAACCTCGCGTGGTTCTTTTTGGTTGAGACCAAAATATATTCCACGACTTGATGTTATCCAACCATTTGAGTTGCTTAAGTTGCCCCAAAACATCCATGATTAATCTAGACATAATTGATGTATTATATAGAGAATATGTAAAATAAGTTTCATTCTCGTTGTCTACATAGCTGAAGTTGTAGATATAATTCAACCTCATTTTGAATACTATTTTTTTTTTTTTTTGGAGGGAGAGGGGGGAGGGGGAGAGGATTTGAACCTTTGACTTCAAGAAGGCAAAACCTGCATAAGGTAAGGAGTACCATTAGACCAAAAGCCCATTGGTCATTTTGGATACTAAGCTAAAAGTTTTCACACTCCAAATTCCACTAGTCCAGCATTGTAGGCTCCTATTCCAGCTTATAATATTCTGTCTGCCATTTGGGACTAACTCCAGAGAGAACGATCCTGGTGCAGGATCTTCGGTGGTCTTCCATGAAGTAACAAGTTGATTTGTTTTGGTACGTTTGTTGTATCCAACCTTTACCACCAGGCATCTGTTGGGTAATCAAAACTTTGCCAATGTGATTTTGTTGAGNCTGTAGGCTCCTATTCCAGCTTATAATATTCTGTCTGCCATTTGGGACTAACTCCAGAGAGAACAATCCTGGTGCAGGATCTTCGGTGGTCTTCCATGAAGTAACAAGTTGATTTGTTTTGGTACGTTTGTTGTATCCAAGCTTTACCACCAGGCATCTGTTGGGTAATCAAAACTTTGCCAATGTGATTTTGTTGAGTTTGGGTTATCCTTAAAAACCAAGGGCCTGTTTGATTTGCGTTTCAAAAAATAGTATCCGAAAACAGCTTTTGAGAAGAGTTTTAAGAAAGTGGTTTTGATATTTTTTGAGATAAAAAACTTGTTTCATTAGATGATTTCAAAAATAATTTTATAATACAGAAAATAGTAAAGCCTAAATATATATTTGAACAGTAATTCAAATATTANATTTGCGTTTCAAAAAATAGTATCCGAAAACAGCTTTTGAAAAGAGTTTTAAGAAAGTGGTTTTGATATTTTTTGAGATAAAAAACTTGTTTCATTAGATGATTTCAAAAATAATTTTATAATACAGAAAATAGTAAAGCCTAAATATATATTTGAACAGTAATTCAAATATTAATAAAAAAATATAAAAAAGTTATTTATATATATATATATATACTGGATTGAAGAAACCAAGTACAAAGTTTTCCCTTGAAGAGATCAGCATCTGGTCTCCAGAGAGATTGGTTTGCAGACCTGGTGTCAGCTCCAAAAGAGATGCGATTGTAGAGAAAAAAACATAGCAAGAGCAAANATATATATATATATATATATATATATACTGGATTGAAGAAACCAAGTACAAAATTTTCCCTTGAAGAGATCAGCATCTGGTCTCCAGAGAGATTGGTTTGCAGATCTGGTGTCAGCTCCAAAAGAGATGCGATTGTAGAGAAAAAAACATAGCAAGAGCAAAAATACAGTGAAACAGTAACTCTCTCTGGTATTCATAGCTGCACAAAGTTTGTGCAGAGGAGAGAGAGAGAGTGGTCAGATCATGTTGAAGAATGCACAAAAATGCAAGGGAGTCCAGAACGAAGCAGCCAATGAAAGATTTATTGCCATGCTGTGAAGCCAACCATCCAACTTGTAGTGACTATTGTGCCTTTTAGCAATTACCTTTCCAAAACAACGGGAAAAACCATATACCTAATCCAATGAAAAAAACAAAAAGATCAAAATAGAAAAAAAATACTTCAACAAAATTTTAAATTAGGGAAACCAATTTTCAACCTGTTTAAGAACAAATCATGCTCTAGTAAGCATTATACTCACTCAAAACTACCCAAAACGACTTGAAACATTGCTACCTTTATTTTTCTGCACCCATTTTACTAATGCCAAACATATAGCATCACTCGTTACATAATTTAATTCTAGCTGTATTAGTTGTGAAGTTTATATTTTAATGTAAGTTCTATAATTGGTTAATTTTAATATTCTGTTTTTATTTTCTTGAGATACTAACAATGCTGTCCTCTCACTCTATCCCATTTTCTTTCCATAGTAGCGTCTCGGCGTATTTTTAGGTATTTTTCAAAGAAACCATTTGTAATCATACTTGTCTTTCCCTGTTGTAAACAAATAATATATCTTTCGTCTATAAATCCACATACTCATTGACAAAAAAATTAAAATTTCCCTATATTTCACAATAACCATGAATATTTTGTAACTTTTAAAAATTCATCCAAAAAATATGGGCGTTTTTTACAATTTGAAGAGAAATAATATATGAATATTCTACATAAATGGGACCTTTCAGAACAGCAGTTGACTGGCACTGGTCAGGTCATTCCAACATTTTGATGGGAGCAATGATAGTAGATGGCCTTTGATTTTTGAAGAAGAAATATGAAAATATATTGGAATAAATTAAGGCTTTATTTTTTGAACTGGAAAAAAAATAAGACTCAATAAATACTGGAATAAATTAAGACTCAATACAAATAGAATCAAGCTGTAACTTAGAAAGATCAAAATTATTATTCAAGGAAATTTCAAAATTTTGAATCAGTCTTCATTTGATATTATTGAATTATAAATTGGCCTATTAGAGTTGACCGGCTAATTTTAATCACTGGTATAAGAAAAGCCTAACACTTTTCAGTCTCTCCTAATTGGCTAAAAATTTCAGTCTTTCACTAGAGAAATTATATTTGCTCCATAAAGCTGCTACATAATTAACTAAAACACCAATTACCTGGTAAAAGTTCTCCTATTGGATTGTAGTCAACTGCATAGCAAGAGGATGTTAAGAGGGTTCCATCTTTACCTAGTCCTTGAAGAAGTCAAAATCCAAAAATTTGGAAGATTTGGAATTGAACAATTNATATTCTGTTTTTATTTTCTTGAGATACTAACAATGCTGTCCTCTCACTCTATCCCATTTTCTTTCCATAGTAGCGTCTCGGCGTATTTTTAGGTATTTTTCAAAGAAACCATTTGTAATCATACTTGTCTTTCCCTGTTGTAAACAAATAATATATCTTTCGTCTATAAATCCACATACTCATTGACAAAAAAATTAAAATTTCCCTATATTTCACAATAACCATGAATATTTTGTAACTTTTAAAAATTCATCCAAAAAATATGGGCGTTTTTTACAATTTCAAGAGAAATAATATATGAATATTCTAAATAAATGGGACCTTTCAGAACAGCAGTTGACTGGCACTGGTCAGGTCATTCCAACATTTTGATGGGAGCAATGATAGTAGATGGCCTTTGATTTTTGAAGAAGAAATATGAAAATATATTGGAATAAATTAAGGCTTTATTTTTTGAACTGGAAAAAAAATAAGACTCAATAAATACTGGAATAAATTAAGACTCAATACAAATAGAATCAAGCTGTAACTTAGAAAGATCAAAATTATTATTCAAGGAAATTTCAAAATTTTGAATCAGTCTTCATTTGATATTATTGAATTATAAATTGGCCTATTAGAGTTGACCGGCTAATTTTAATCACTGGTATAAGAAAAGCCTAACACTTTTCAGTCTCTCCTAATTGGCTAAAAATTTCAGTCTTTCACTAGAGAAATTATATTTGCTCCATAAAGCTGCTACATAATTAACTAAAACACCAATTACCTGGTAAAAGTTCTCCTATTGGATTGTAGTCAACTGCATAGCAAGAGGATGTTAAGAGGGTTCCATCTTTACCTAGTCCTTGAAGAAGTCAAAATCCAAAAATTTGGAAGATTTGGAATTGAACAAAATGATATTCAGAGTTTTACAGATGAAAACTCAATTGTCCATAACACTTGACCCTGACCAGCACATAAAATAAGGCAAAAGGAAGTGATGCGTGTAAAGTTCTCATGGTTTAAAAGATTTACCTATCAGATTGATCTTTGGAGCAATTTTTGGAGCTTCCATTTACCGGCCATTTGCATTAAGAGACCTCAATCCTACAAAAAAAACAAGAGAGATAGAGAGGACTTCAGGGTCTGTTTGGTTTGCATCTCAAAAAACAATATCTGAAAACTATTTTTGGAAAGAGTTTTAAGAAAGTGTTTTTAAAAATTTTTAAATTGTAAAACCTGGTTGGTTATATATTTTTGAAAATAGTTTTAAAGAACAAAAAATAGTAAAACTTGTTTAGACAATAATTCATAAAATCAATTTTTAACTTATCATTTCTGATAAAAAAAAAACTTTATCACACCAGGCAGTCATGTCCATCGACTTCTCACCTAGCAACTCTCTCGCTCCATTATCCTTTCACACAACAAGTCTCTCTCTCTCTCCATTATCTCCTCACACAGCAACCATCTCTCTATTACCTTCTCACCCAGCAAAAACACACACAACCATATATATATACGCACACATGGATATATATATACACACACATACATCACACAATACATATGTATATAAATATACACACACATAGATATATATATACTCACACATACATCACACAATACATATGTATATATATACACACACACATAGATTTGTGTATATATACAGATCTGTATATATACACAGATCTATGTTCATACAAATCTGTTGCGCAGAGACAAAGAGAGAGGAGAAGATGAACAGCCGTTTGTGTGCGTGTTTGTGAGTGTGCGTGTGTGACTGTGTTTTGTGGAGAGAGAGAGAGAGGGACAAAAAAAAAAGAAAAATAAGACGCTGGGCAAAGTGGTGAGAGGGAGAGGAAAATAAANGAGAGAGAGGAGAAGATGAACAGCCGTTTGTGTGTGTGTTTGTGAGTGTGCGTGTGTGACTGTGTTTTGTGGAGAGAGAGAGAGGGACAAAAAAAAAAAGAAAAATAAGACGCTGGGCAAAGTGGTGAGAGGGAGAGGAAAATAAAAAAAAAAGAAGAAGGCGTTTTGTTGCTAAGGGGACTCGAAGGACAGACCTCTATTTTTGTGTTCCAAATCTCATTTTTTTTCAAAAATGTTGAGAACAAAAATGCTAAACAAACAGGTTTTTGGTGTTTTTAAAATTTTGAAAACAAAAAACTGTTNGAAGAAGGCGTTTTGTTGCTAAGGGGACTCGAAGGACAGACCTCTAATTGTGTTCCAAATCTCATTTTTTTTCAAAAATGCTAAACAAACAGGTTTTTGGTGTTTTTAAAATTTTGAAAACAAAAAACTGTTTTGCAGATGATAACCAAACAAACCTTCAATTTCTTGAAATATTTCTCTCCAAACATTTCAAGCCATCACAGCTCCAAAAGCTGCCACGACAGACACGATGGATGGACCATTGCTAAGCCCTTTTGAGAATATCAACTAACATCATAGTAAGCAGCCGTCAGCAAGTTCCTGGTCAAATTGCAGTTTCCTTGAATGAGAATCAATGTCTTCAGCAATTAAAAATGTGGCATTGCATAACCATACCTACATCACTCAAACCGCAAGCAAACCCAACTGCAATATAAGTTAGCAAGGAATCCTTGCAAAGACAACAAATTGTTATAGACAGTAATCACCCCTCGTATGCAAATCCTGATTAATCATTACAATCATTCATAAGAAATATATCTTCCTTCCATCCAAAATTGGCATTACAGTGAACTGCATATGATACACCTACAANTTTGATATTATTGAATTATAAATTGGCCTATTAGAGTTGACCGGCTAATTTTAATCACTGGTATAAGAAAAGCCTAACACTTTTCAGTCTCTCCTAATTGGCTAAAAATTTCAGTCTTTCACTAGAGAAATTATATTTGCTCCATAAAGCTGCTACATAATTAACTAAAACACCAATTACCTGGTAAAAGTTCTCCTATTGGATTGTAGTCAACTGCATAGCAAGAGGATGTTAAGAGGGTTCCATCTTTACCTAGTCCTTGAAGAAGTCAAAATCCAAAAATTTGGAAGATTTGGAATTGAACAAAATGATATTCAGAGTTTTACAGATGAAAACTCAATTGTCCATAACACTTGACCCTGACCAGCACATAAAATAAGGCAAAAGGAAGTGATGCGTGTAAAGTTCTCATGGTTTAAAAGATTTACCTATCAGATTGATCTTTGGAGCAATTTTTGGAGCTTCCATTTACCGGCCATTTGCATTAAGAGACCTCAATCCTACAAAAAAAACAAGAGAGATAGAGAGGACTTCAGGGTCTGTTTGGTTTGCATCTCAAAAAACAATATCTGAAAACTATTTTTGGAAAGAGTTTTAAGAAAGTGTTTTTAAAAATTTTTAAATTGTAAAACCTGGTTGGTTATATATTTTTGAAAATAGTTTTAAAGAACAAAAAATAGTAAAACTTGTTTAGACAATAATTCATAAAATCAATTTTTAACTTATCATTTCTGATAAAAAAAAAACTTTNTTGTTTAGTTTGCATCTCAAAAAACAATATCTGAAAACTATTTTTGGAAAGAGTTTTAAGAAAGTGTTTTTAAAAATTTTTAAATTATAAAACCTGGTTGGTTATATATTTTTGAAAATAGTTTTAAAGAACAAAAAATAGTAAAACTTGTTTGGACAATAATTCATAAAATCAATTTTTAACTTATCATTTCTGATAAAAAAAAAACTTTATCACACCAGGCAGTCATGTCCATTGACTTCTCACCTAGCAACTCTCTCGCTCCATTATCCTTTCACACAACAAGTCTCTCTCTCTCTCCATTATCTCCTCACACAGCAACCATCTCTCTATTACCTTCTCACCCAGCAAAAACACACACAACCATATATATATACGCACACATGGATATATATATACACACACATACATCACACAATACATATGTATATAAATATACACACACATAGATATATATATACTCACACATACATCACACAATACATATGTATATATATACACACACACATAGATTTGTGTATATATACAGATCTGTATATATACACAGATCTATGTTCATACAAATCTGTTGCGCAGAGACAAAGAGAGAGGAGAAGATGAACAGCCGTTTGTGTGCGTGTTTGTGAGTGTGCGTGTGTGACTGTGTTTTGTGGAGAGAGAGAGAGAGGGACAAAAAAAAAAGAAAAATAAGACGCTGGGCAAAGTGGTGAGAGGGAGAGGAAAATAAAAAAAAAAAAGAAGAAGGCGTTTTGTTGCTAAGGGGACTCGAAGGACAGACCTCTATTTTTGTGTTCCAAATCTCATTTTTTTTCAAAAATGTTGAGAACAAAAATGCTAAACAAACAGGTTTTTGGTGTTTTTAAAATTTTGAAAACAAAAAACTGTTTTGCAGATGATAACCAAACAAACCTTCAATTTCTTGAAATATTTCTCTCCAAACATTTCAAGCCATCACAGCTCCAAAAGCTGCCACGACAGACACGATGGATGGACCATTGCTAAGCCCTTTTGAGAATATCAACTAACATCATAGTAAGCAGCCGTCAGCAAGTTCCTGGTCAAATTGCAGTTTCCTTGAATGAGAATCAATGTCTTCAGCAATTAAAAATGTGGCATTGCATAACCATACCTACATCACTCAAACCGCAAGCAAACCCAACTGCAATATAAGTTAGCAAGGAATCCTTGCAAAGACAACAAATTGTTATAGACAGTAATCACCCCTCGTATGCAAATCCTGATTAATCATTACAATCATTCATAAGAAATATATCTTCCTTCCATCCAAAATTGGCATTACAGTGAACTGCATATGATACACCTACATGCTTCCATTTTCAAGATCAACACTAGTTTCCAGTTGGCCTTTCAATTACAGCACATTTAGTTTTAAATTCATCATCCAGGATATCCTGGCAACCAAAGCTTTACTGGAGTCATGTTGAACTTTGCCAAAATATCAAGTCTTACCTAATAATAGAATGTTATGCAATTGAACAGATGTAATAGCAAGCCATTACTATGAACAAAATCGCAACTTCTATTGTGCACATATTACCTTCAGTTCCCAACCAACAGGATTTCTTGTATTGCTGCCAACAAAGAAAGGCAATGGATCACAAATATAATTCTTTTGCATCTTCAGCATTAAAACCTGTTTGGTAAGAACTCATAAGAAGAAAAACATCGAAGTGGCATATTATATGCTCACAAGTACATGGTTGTTCTGCAAAGTATTAATTGCCTTTACAGTGAGAAATTGAATCAAAAGCTCATTGTAAAGTCAACACTCTTCACCTGTTAATTAGCAACCCGTAATGGAAGATGTGAATGGAATTAAAATGGCATTCAAGATAAATATCATAGCCTGCTCATTCTCATGGTTTGGAGTATCAACCTTCATAAATAAGAGGCATAACTTTAGTAGCTATACCATGTGCAACAATATTTTATTTATTTATTTGATATATCTTTTTGTAGGAAGCATATACATGCTTAGTCACTACAACATTTTGCTTTGACTATTCAGTACAGTCGATGTCTACAATCTTTGCACCACACCTTAGTCTTCTCAATAAACTCACCCTATTCACGCGAACACCTAAGAAATCAACTTGTGTGGCTCTTCTTCGTTTACTCTCAGCATCAGTAGAATTACGGCTTCCACGGTTACGTTTAACATGGACAGCTTCAACTCTTTCACCTACCTCTTCACCCTCAAGTTTATGACATAACCTTTTTGATGGTTGATTTGCTGCACAAAGGTAGCCAAAGTAATAAAGAGGATCAACATAAGAGGGTGACTTAGACACAATGCCTTTCATGTTGGTGGGCTGGAGAAGCTTAACAAATTCCTGTATCTCGGGAAAGCATGAGTGATCGGAATATGGGACTGAATATATGTATTGATGATATCTTTCAACAATTTTTAGATTTTCATTTGGCTTTTTCATCGCAACATTTGTGCTCCAGCTACTTCGGTTATGGCGAGAAATTGAAGAACCAAAAAGATTATCATTTGGTTTAGCAGTTTTGACTGCCCAAGGAATACCAGAAGGCATGATTCCTATCGTTGGGTGCAGTGTATTTAGTCCCTCTAAAGTGTCAACACTAAAACTGTAACGAGGAACAGCTCGCACTCTGGTCAGAGAAGTTTTGGTTGTGAAGATGTCATGGAACCCCAGAAGATGCATAATCTGCAAGCGTTCTGGCCACACCCAAATCTGTGGGAAAAATAACAAGTGTAGTGAACCAGATGTTTGGTAGCCAATCTGGAATACTGAAATATACGTAATGTATTGCTAGGTATATATAGGTTCATTTCTTGTGCAACAACTGAAATCTTCATGAGGTGAATAATTAAATGCATCACTTTTTAGAACAAGAAATACAAATACAAATTAAACATAACATATGGCATCTTTCCATGACTCAGACAGTATGAACAACGAAAGAGAAAAGTTATTGAGGTTTAGGTCAACATCCAATACAAAGGATGACATGAGTTCTATTATTATCAACAAGAGAACATTAAGAATCACCTATTCCTTAATTAGGCTCCCAAGAAACAGGCTTTAGATTACATGAGCAAATGCAATAGGCAATCAAATTAAGAACATGCAGAAGATGGAGATAATGCAACAAATTTGATGGTCAGGACTGTGTTTTGCATTTATTTTCTAGAAGTAAGCAAAAGGTGCATACCACTTTGCTGCATGTGCACATTTAAATGCCATCTATAGAGAAAATAACGAGTAAGATGTTCTTGTAATTAAGAAGCAAACACATAAAAGTTGTGTTTTCTATTAAAATAAAAAATATACCTTCATATTCAGCAGACGTGAAATATAGAGCAAAAGATCTTCTTTGCCCAAAGAGTCAATCCCTATGATAATATCATGTTCAGGATGAGAGCTGATGATATTGACAACCTGTAATCAGCCATCAAGAATTAAAGGCAAAGAGACAAGTTTTGGAAAATATTGTACATAGTATTGCAGCAAAGTTTGATACAGGCAAAGAAACAAGTTGTATATTATTTCCTGAAAGCATGAGACTGTTCTTTGAAATTGCTGTCGAAAATGGCACATTCTACCAAAGTCATACAAACAAGCTATTTTTTTCGCTTCCACAATATTTTATATAAAAATGCAGAGATTACAAGCAAAGCCCCGTCCATCTTTTAGATATTAATCAAAATTTAATCTTGATCCTCCATTCCTCTGAAATATCAACTACATATATACTACTCAGACAAGCCCTTTCTGACACATGACTTCCTGAAAAGTCTACATTGCAGAGCCTCTTAGAGCTTTCCCCAATGAAGACTACTCTGAAATTTATAACCCCATCTCACTTTTCTCACTTGTACGCACCTTTTCCCTATTGTCTTGTCTTGAAGAGGTTCTCTCCTTTCTTTTTAGTTCTTACTTGTAAGAGAATGGCATAGTGCTCTTCCATCTATAATTTGCATACCTCAGTATCTTATAACAAGAAAACTGAAAGTGTGAATCCCAGTAAACTGCCATACAATATTTCCTTTAATGAACTTTACAGTGGATTAACAGCAATTCTAAAGATGACTGAAACACAGACATAAGAAGAACTTTTGATTTGGTCATTCAATTAATTTGCACAATTTCCTTCCCATATGTTGTCCAAAAGCTTCACATTCTACTATTTTGACACTCTGCATTGACATTGTTTTATTGGTACATCATAATAAATTGAATAAGAACGGCTACATTCTCCACAAGCTTCAGAGCTGCTCAAAACACAAATATACGAAACCAAACTGAATTTTGCAGCATCAGTCATAAAAGATAGTCAAGTTACTTGCAGCAACAAGAGGGTAATAAAATAATTAAGATATATAACTTATAAAGCATCTTCCCGAAAAGAACACACACCTGCTTCGCAGCAACTTCCCGAGAAGGAAAAGAATACAATGGATTGCAGTACGTGTTATCTAAGTAAAGAATGTCAAGTTTCTCATTCTTGAGAGCATTAAGTAACGTGGTCCTTCCGATCTGTGCTCTCTTACTGGTTGTTTCCCAACGAAAATCCCCAGTGTAAAGCATGCAGCCAAACTCACCTCGAAACAGATACATAACTGCTCCTGTTAGATGAAAAAACTTGAAGAGATGAATAAGTCATTTCTTTAAGCAAGATGACAACATTAAATTTTTACAAATGGGCACTGAGCACATTGGTGAAAACAGATTAGAGCATCAAAATTATAGCCAAAAAGAGATAAAAACTTAGCACCTAGCAGTTGTATGAAGGTACTGCTTTATTACAAACTCCATATAAAACATCATCATAGCTGCAAAAATGGCAAGCTACAGCACAGCTTCAATAAATAAGCCAATTATGAGATTTCTCCATCCATCAAGCCACCTCATCATAAGGTGCACGACCACAACTAATCCCCAAATAAAGTAGTGTCAATCACCAGTCATGCTAAAAAATTTGGCTGACCTGGATTCTAGCAGATTGTGAAATGAGTATTTATTTTCTGTTCCCCATCCTTGGTTGGTCAGTTTACATANACCAGTCATGCTAAAAAATTTGGCTGACCTAGATTCTAGAGGATTGTGAAATGAGTATTTATTTTCTGTTCCCCATCCTTGGTTGGTCAGTTTACATATGTGTATAAAGGGAGGTGGCGTTGGTACATTTTGAAATGTGTCGATATGATGCAAAACAACAGACTCATCTAAAAGCTTAAAATAATAGAAAATGGTATAACATAGGTATTTATATCTTATACTCCCCCTCTCGCGGTGCAATCTGTGGCGGTCTGTCTATGCGACTGCATTGTGTAGTAACACCAGTGTTCTTAGTGTGTTTTGATCTCCACGTCTTTAGNTAAACAACGGACTCATCTAAAAGCTTACAATAATAGAAAATGGTATAACATAGGTATTCATGTCTTATACTCCCCCTCTCGCGGTGCAATCTGTGGCGGTCTGTCTATGCGACTGCATTGTGTAGTAACACCAGTGTTCTTAGTGTGTTTTGATCTCCACGTCTTTAGATTATTTTAGATTATGTTAAACCACCAACTCGATACTTATAGATATCCATTTATACCATGACAACGTCCCAGCTAAACAGTGTTGGGGTGAATAAACTGCTCGACAAGGTCAGTCCCTCAGAAAAAGTAGAGCTAAAGTAACTGATTTCCCAGCAAAACATAATTTTGTTACCATTTTTTACTCTCTTTTCATCATAGAAATTCGTAAATTCGATCACAAGTGCAGGAAAACTTCTGGANAAAACAGTGTTGGGGTGAATAAACTGCTCGACAAGGTCAGTCCCTCAGAAAAAGTAGAGCTAAAGTAATTGATTTCCCAGCAAAACATAATTTTGTTACCATTTTTTACTCTCTTTTCATCATAGAAATTCGTAAATTCGATCACAAGTGCAGGAAAAAATCTGGAAGCAATGAGATTTAGTTTTTAAAGGGCATTCAGTCACATAGATTTGAAATCAAACAAATCATAAGCAATTCAAAAAATAACTAACTTGAACTTGTCTCAGACCACAAACTTACCGGGGCAATGATGAGCGTCTATGGCCATGACTTGTACAGTGGTCTCCAAGCCAGAGGACGGAGAAATCAGAGAAAGCGAATGCCAATGAGTAACATCGAGAACGCTAAGCAACGAAAGGTTGAAGCCGGGGAATTTGAAGGGGAAAAGCTTGGCGGTGACGCTTGAGCAGAAGAGAGGACCACGTTTCCAGGTCGGAGAGAGACCGTTGGTATGATCGGCGTGAAGATGCGTCAAGAAATACACCTGACTTCCTTCAGACCACCGGTCTACTGAAATCATTCCTTTCTCCATCGATTCTCAGTTTGCCCTAGAAATTCGAGTTCGTGATCGAATTCGAAGTGATCTTCCAGATTTATAGTGAAAAAGAGAGGGGAGAGTGAAGATAGTGTGGTATGAAATCGTCGTGTTTTGTCCTTTTGGCGGGGATTTTGCGTTTGAATTTCAGAGCCTTTGGGCTTTACCGAGGAGGGGACTTAAACCGAATCAACCGGAACCGGGGGTAGAACAATGTCCGTTCCCGTACTTTCGCCCTTTGAACCATCGGAGGCACGACACGATTCTGTGTCTCCCACGAGGAGGAAGGTTGATGAATTAGAGTTGATTATTGTTGGTAATCTCAAAAATAATTCGACATATTACAATGAATAATAAAATTGGGGGTGTAATTCACAGGCACTAAATTTGTAATTAATTTGGGCTGTCAAAGTACGATATTAGAAGGTGACTCAAAAGGACTTCTTGTGGTAATCAAATAGGGTCATACCAATTTTTTTGAAATTGAAAATTTTATTGACCAGATTAAAGGATTCGATGTAAATTAATTTAATGTCTCGTGAATAAGAACACTTAAGAATAGTGTTATATATACATTAGTCAAATATGTTATTTTATATTCTCAATGTATTATATGAAAAATTGAAATATCAATTTTTTTAGTACCTCTCCATCAAAATGATATTTCTATTTCTTAGGGCTTGATGGGTAATCGTTTTTGTTTTTTATTTTCAGTNATGAAATACCAATTTTTTTAGTACCTCTCCATCAAAATGATATTTCTATTTCTTAGGGCTTGATGGGTAATGGTTTTTTTATTTTCAGTTTTTGCTATAAAAAAAATGTGATTGGTTGTATTTTTGTTTTTTTAATCAAATTATTTTAAAAACAAGGCCCAAAATTGCAAGAAAAAAAAAACATATTTTCAAAAATAACAAAAAAATGCAAATAAGGCACGCTTGTGTGCGAGCCATTAATTTACAAACAGATAGACATTAAAAATCATAAGAAATTTGTGTGTGATATTTTAAATATAAGGAATATAAGTAATTAAGTACCGAATTTTAAAGGACGGTAGTGTAATTTTTTCTTTGGGCTTTTTTTTTTTAACTCCCTCACTCGACCGTTCTGTGTCTCCCACGAGGAGGAAGGTGCTTCCGACAGTCCGACTCGTTTGAAGCTCGCCTCTCTCAGGGTCAGCTCTCTTACGAGCTCTCTTATGCTCCATCTCCGTCCCTGTCGATCTCTCTCTCTATTACGCTTTCCAAAAATTGTATTTTTAATTTTATATTTTTTATTTACATAAATCTGTATATATTAAGCCTGACAATCGTGTCGAGTAAAACAGTTTTCGCGTCGGGTGGAATAGATTTGTATCAAAAAATCCTTCATTCATATCTCATTTGTTTATATAAACAAATTTAACTATCATANTTGAAATATCAATTTTTTTAGTACCTCTCCATCAAAATGATATTTCTATTTCTTAGGGCTCGATGGGTAATCGTTTTTGTTTTTTATTTTCAGTTTTTGCTATAAAAAAAATGTGATTGGTTGTATTTTTGTTTTTTTAACCAAATTATTTTGAAAACAAGGCCCAAAATTGCAAGAAAAAAAAACATACTTTCAAAAATAACAAAAAAATGCTAATAAGGCACGCCTGTGTGCAAGCCATTAATTAACTAACAGATAGACATTAAAAATCATAAAAAGTTTCTGTATGGTATTTTAAATATCAAGAATATAAGTAAGTAACAAATTTTAAAGGATGGTAGTGTAATTTTTTCTTTGTTTTTTTTTTCTTTTCACTCCCTCACTCGACCGTTCTGTCTCTCCCACGAGGAGGAAGGTGCCTCCGACAGTCCGACTCGTTTGAAGCTCGCCTCTCTCAGGGTCAGCTCTCTCTTATGCTCCATCTCCGTCCCTGCCGATCTCTCTCTCTATTACACTTTCAAAAAATTTTATTTTTAACTTTATATTTTTTATTTACATAAATCTGTATATATTAAGCCTGACAATCGTGTCGAGTAGAACAGTTTTCGCGTCGGGTGGAATAGATTTGTGTCAAAAAATCCTTCATTCATATCTCATTTGTTTATATAAACAAATTTAACTATCATACTCATACATAAATCATTTATTTGACGGATTATCCGATACAATCCGTGTGTCACCCGCTAAATAAGAGAATAGGTTATAATATTTTGAGTACACACGAAAAATCATCAACTTACTACACATTACATATATTTGACTTGTTTATTATAACAATAAATCATGATTGAATAAAAAAATACAGACAAAAAATAAGCATTAAATTGCTACTAAATTTGAATGTGTCTAGGAGATTGGGGGTGTGAAATAAGACAGAAGCTAAGAAACCTAACTTTTTTTAAAAAAAAAATTATAGTACTACTGTTAAATGATTAAACGGATTAAAACGAGTTTATAGGTTAAACATAAAATCGATTCATTTATTTCACGAATCTGCCGAGTTAATCCGTTAACTACCCGAACCCATTAAGACTACACTCAANCTGAATAAAAAATACAGACAAAAAATAAGCATTAAATGGCTACTAAATTTGAATGTGTCTAGGAGATTGGGGGTGTGAAATAAGACAGAAGCTAAGAAACCTAACGTTTTTTTAAAAAAAAATTATAGTACTACTGTTAAATGATTAAACGGATTAAAACGAGTTTATAGGTTAAACATAAAATCGATTCATTTATTTCACGAATCTGTCGAGTTAATCCGTTAACTACCCGAACCCATTAAGACTACACTCAAACTTGTTAAATTCGTGTCGATTTCATGAATCGTATCTAGAATTGTCAGGCCTAGTATATAAATGCATATATTGGCGTAGATCTAGGTGTAGATCTGTGTGAATNCCGAGTTAATCCGTTAACTACCCGAACCCATTAAGACTACACTCAAACTTGTTAAATTCGTGTCGATTTCATGAGTCGTATCTAGAATTGTAAGGCCTAGTATATAAATGCATATATTGGCGTAGATCTAGGTGTAGATCTGTGTGAATGTGTGTGAAAGTGTGGCTGTAATGGTGCGGGTCTGTGTTTGTGGCCGATTGGTGTGCGTGTCTTTAGAGACGATGGGTGTGCGGCACTGTGTGTATCACAAATATTTTTTTTTTATTTTCATAATTTATTAAATATAAATGGCTACTAAAAAAAATTTATTTCTATTTTTTATTTTTTAAAAAATACAAAAATAAAAACGTTACCCAAAAGCAAATAAATTAATTGAATTTTTATCACATTCACTACACATAAAAAATTGCTATTTGTACGAGGATTATAATNCGTTTGTGTGTCTCTGTTTGTGGCCGATTGGTGTGCGTGTCTTTAGAGACGATGGGTGTGCGGCACTGTGTGTATCACAAATATTTTTTTTTATTTTCATAATTTATTAAATATAAATGACTACTAAAAAAAATTTATTTCTATTTTTTATTTTTTTAAAAATACAAAAATAAAAACGTTACCCAAAAGCAAATAAATTAATTGAATTTTTATCACATTCACTACACATAAAAAATTGCTATTTGTACGAGGATTATAATTTTCTAGAATAATTATTGATTTATTAATTATTTTTATTAAGCTAGTGATTCATTGTTCGGATTCTTTGGTGGATTGATGTCCGATCCGGTTTGGTAATGTAAGTATTGTTCTGGGATCTGAATCTGGCGTTCATATGTCTTGGGCCTCTGGGCCATTATTTCTCATCCATTCATATTGGGCTATCCCAGCCCAAACTGACCCCAGTGAACAGCTCGTTAAAGCCTGAAAGGAGAAGAACTTTTGCCCAGAAAATGGCTTCTCCTTCTTCAACTAAGTTAATTCTACTCAGAAGACTATCCAGAGCTCTGAAACTGAAACCTCCCTCTGCTTCCATACAAAGATCTTCTTCATCATCTTCTTCTCTATATCTTTCATCACTTCCAGAAGCTTCGAGGCTTGCTCATGGATATTGTCTTTCAATCTGTTGTAGAAACTTCTGCTCTCGCCCTCCTCATCTCAATGACGAGTCTCAAGGCCCTGTCACTATATATAACAGGTGTGTACACTTTCCCATGTATTTCCTTCACTTCTCCCCAATTTTTTGTTGAAAAATTTCCTACTTTTTACATATTACAAATTGGGGAATTTTTATTTATTTATTTGTTCCCTCCTGAATATGTTTCTTAGTAATCAAATCAAGTGAATTTGCTAAAAGTGATAATGTATACAGTGTTCTACTGCAGGAGGATGAATATCACAGGCTAGCTGATACCACGATACAGGACCTGCTAGAGAAGATAGAGGTACTAATCATTTTCAAACCTTTTATGCCTTTGTGTTTTATGCCTCCGAAAATCACCACACTTTTCACAAACGTGTCAATACATTAAGTCTTTCAATGATGTGACTCATGATACACAAGTTCTGTGCTCAATTTGTAGTTATTGGAGGTATTGACAGATCAATAGCTCCTTATAGTCAAACAAATTTATAAACTTTTTTTATATACTAATTCCAAGTGATTTTGTATCCAATGATCCAAAAGAAGAGTAGCCACTCGCGGAGTACACAACTGATTTCTACCTGTCTCTAACTTACACTATCCTGTTTGAAAACTACTATTCCAAATTGCATTGCTGGGAACACCCATTATTATCAACGTCACCCAGGACCTTTAGAAGCCGACAAAGTTGGTTTTTGGTGAAAAAATGGAATGAAATTTACTTTTGCTGTATAAAATCAGCAGAAGCAAGTCCTGATTGACAGTAGGATCTCCATTCATCATCAGCAGTTGGAGAAACTGAGGGTGATAAGTAAACATGTGAGACTTTTTCTCTTTTCATACTTGTTGTGAATAATTCATGAGTAATCGAGAAAAGTTGGAGTATGTGTATTGATATTGAAAGTATAGCAACACAATTCTTTCTTGCCATCCCGTTTGTTAAGGCACTGGCTTTATTTTTCCTTCGTGGATATTACTGGCTTTTTTTAGTCATTCATCTTCTTAGTGTTTTGTATCATAAAAGATAATATTTGGTCTGGTATTCCATTTCTTTTCACTGTCTTTGTTTCTTTTACAATAACACTGAGCTCTAAACTTCATTTCTTTTGTCTGTTGCCTGACAGGAATATGGTGACACAGTTGAAATTGATGGTTTTGACATAGAGTATGGGGTGAGAATTTTATAGGAGTTAAAGTTGGTTTGTTCATGACTCATGCAAAGGTTTTGTATTCAGTCTAACATAAACCTGGCCTTCTCTTGGCAGAACCAGGTTTTAACCCTGAAGCTTGGGAGTTTGGGAACCTATGTTTTGAACAAACAAACACCAAATAGACAAATTTGGATGTCCTCGCCTGTGAGGTAATTGCTGCTTACAGAATGAGTTCTGGACTTTGGCTCGTCAGTTTTTAAAATATGTTATGTGGTTTCTGAGTTTTATCATGCTAATTTCTATGTGAATATGTTCTGTTACAATTGAGACTTTGGCTCAGCATTTTCTTAACTGCAACTGAATAGATGCATCATTTCTGCCAGAGCACTGTGGTAGCCTGATATTCATTAGAATGCAAGAACGGTTGTCCGTGGGGTTTTAATTACTTGGGGGAAGACAAATGGATGTGGTAGCATTGAAAATGTGCATACAAATGTCAAAACATAGGATGTGGAGTATAGGCTTTGTTCAACTTGCTTGATTTCCCTTCCGATGAGTGGTATGTGTGAAAATGAATGGTGCCATTAATGGTCGATTTGTCAGTTGTTTGCCACAAAACTATGGGAGTGGAAGATAGACAAACAAAACAAAAAGCTCTGTTTGTATTAAAATATGCCGTGCAGTCTTGGGAACCTAGACTTGGTGTATCAAACTGAATTTCATTAAAGTTGGTTGGCCCAGTGGGAGTTAATGAAGACATAGGATGGTATGACCAGGTGATTGTTGAGAAAGCAGATGAGGGGGTGTCATGTTCCAATTGCCTCAATGAATTGACCTTAAAATTTTTTCAAGCAATTGGAAAGAACATAATTTAAAGTTAGAATCTACATTATTGAATTGCATTTAAATTTAGGGATTAGTAACACTGTTTTATAAACTTGAGTATGCGCACTGTGGTAAAGGCACGATTCAGTTCCCCTATTTTGTGGCTTTACATTCTGGCTACCATAAGTTTCACTGAAATAACTTGAACCTTCCTTGTGCCCTTTTCTGATGTAAAGATATCTCATTCTTCAGGGAAAAGGGAAGAGAAAAGAGTTGTGGGGAAGGGAGGAGAGTCACTACAGGACTGGGAGTCCTGCCACATCATTTTCTCAACCATATTTATAAATGATATAAACTTTATATTATATCATGCTATTCTATGATATAAACTATAGCATCTTCTATAATTTGTTTGGAATTGGATGAAGCTTGACTCGGCACTTAATTTTTTATGTTAGGGTGATCTAGACTTAATTACACTGTGATGAAGCTGCTTGTCAATGTAACTAATTGTTACATGTTCCATATGTTGTGTTTACATGGGGGCATCACATATCACATCACTTTGTTTACCATAGGTATCAAATGATGTTTATTTGCTTAAAGTGGTTTTAGGTAATCTATTTTTTTTATCGTTAATTGATATATTTAGTCGAAATACTGATTTTGAGTTCTGTTTCAAAGTATCGGTTGATACCAATACAGGTGAGCTGAGACATATCCGACTCGGCATCCTTTCGAAACGATATCGTTACATGATAGATATAAACTCCGAGTCTCGTATGACTTGTCAAAGTTATATCTAAGTTAATCCCAAGTTGCCGAGTTATCGTCACTGAATCAACGTTCCACGATGCCACGATATAACTTGAATCTCTCGTTATGTTCAATATTGTCTTTTAGGTCGTATTTCCTGATACCATGATGCCACAACGCAGCGATCAATGAGTTTCAAAACTCTTCTAGTTGATTACCTATACCGCGACATTAAACCATGTGTTGAGTGGCAGTACCTCGAGGTACTGATATTGAGCGCTTTTATTAATGAACTTTTTTATTTGATATTTTTTTAGATCTTCGAGTAACATGAGAAGCAAATGATCGCATTCCTAGTATGTATATGATTTTTGTCATCTAGGCCCATAGGATCTTCCACTTAAATTGAGCATAGTGGAGAAACAATAAGTCTTGGTATCAGACTGGTGCAGGACAAGAACAAGTTCTGTTTTAAGGCATTAAAATGGAAGCCTGGTGGGTTGAAAAGGGTGCTGACTGTGGAAAGTATCTGACATGGCCGTGGTATGCTATTAGTGAAAATGAAAAAGTGCTTGATCTAGTTTACGTGGTCTTTTGAGTACTTTAAGTTTGAACCCAGGGATGAAATACTTGACTCTTGGACTTTAGACTTATGTTTGGACTAATTAGACCCATTCTAATTTACCATTTCTAACAAGTTAGCCCATGAGACAATAAAGGCGAATATGGCAGTCAATTCTTTGCCCAAGGACAAATTTACGTATGAAGCCTAACTAAAACTTAATTGAATTAGCAATGCACAATGTGTGTTGTACATGAACATATTTAAATAATATTTTTTTTGTAAAAAATTAAATTATGTGTAATTAAATTGAATAATAAATTATGTGCTGAATAATAAATTATTATTTTAAATATTTCTAAACTAATTAATGATATATTCTACCACTTTTTGAATATCTAATCTGTCATTTTCTTAGGTATCTTCTCGATCCCTTTAAACATTTCCTCTTTGGTCTATAATGAAGTTTCCTTATAAGATTGTCATTCTTGAGTATTTGCATATCTTACATTTTTTTGTCGGAGAGATTGATTATATTGTAATACTATTATTTTGTATTATAATGTTGTTGCATACCAAAAAGTCAAATATGACAACTGCATATATATAATAATAGAATATATATTGGACTTTACTTATAAACATTGATATAGAAAATTGTATGTAAGTGTAGCATTAACAATTGATTCCAAATAAATTAAAAAGTCAAATAATATCAATAAAAGAGAGTCCAAATAGGTATAGAAAATAAAAATTGGANAATTATATTTTAGGTTTATTACATTTTTTTGTCGGAGAGATTGATTATATTGTAATACTATTATTTTGTATTATAATGTTGTTGCATACCAAAAAGTCAAATATGACAACTGCATATATATAATAATAGAATATATATTGGACTTTACTTATAAACATTGATATAGAAAATTGTATGTAAGTGTAGCATTAACAATTGATTCCAAATAAATTAAAAAGTCAAATAATATCAATAAAAGAGAGTCCAAATAGGTATAGAAAATAAAAATTGGATGAAAGGAAATTTGTGGGTATAATTGAGTCTATAATAATAATTAGGGATAAAATAGGAAATCAAAAGTTTGTCACAAATGTTGACATTTATAAGTAGTATATAATATAGATTACTATTCTAGCCTAAGTACTTCGTCGAAACAAAAGAATGGCAATCAGGACTTGAAAATATCAGCATTGTTATGTGCCCAGCCTTGAAATTGACCCAGATATCCACACTTCTTCTTTATTAGGTGTGGCTTTGGGTAGAAAGAAGAAATCAGAGTGACTTGGAGTAGAAATAAGAAATCAAAGTGGAACTAAATCCCCAACACTGCATCTTCTATTCTGCATGGTGTCTTGATGAAAAAAGGGGCATGCCAATGCATGAGACTCCCACCATTGCGGGTCTTGAATTAAGAATCGTATTAAGGCTCATTGAGATTAGACCAGCCCTCATGCAGACTATTTCTTGCTCTTCAAAATGTAGCTGAGCTATATCCAGTGTTGAGATTGGCCTGATTGACAACCCTAGGTGTAGCTTCAGTAGTTGGAATCGATAAAATCATGCACCGAAAAGTAAAAGTATCTGCATCATTCTTATGCCCTCCAAGAGATTCGTTCCTATAATTTGAGATGTGCATTTCCGAAGGCTATAAGAATATATCCAGAATGGAGCTTTGCATCCCATAATTGAAACTGAATATGTCAACTAACCTACCATTAACAATATTCAAATTAAAACATAATTGCATTTGGCCATTGTATAAATGAACTATGTTTGGCCCACAAAGTTTGTGTTCTGATTCTGCTCATTTTCTTCTTGGGCAGTTTTACTAGACCTCTAGTTTCTTGTGCCTAAAAATGGGATGGTTTTCCCTGGCCACCACGCATAGAAAGTAATTGTGTCTTTGATCCATGCTATCGTTGTGTTCTGGCAGTTAATTTGTGCCATCATCTCTAAATGATTCTAAGGTCCTACAACTGGATTTCTTGTGTTTGTAGGTGACCAAGTCGCTGGTGGAATCAAAAAGGCATTCTGTATTGTGTATTGTTATCATCATGTTCGTTTTCATTGTAATTCCCTAGGGCACCTCGCTTGGTTTGAATTCTTTGCTTATTTCCCTTCTAGGGGGACTGTTTGTTATCCAGACAATGCAGAAGCCGATAGCTTGAGATGTGATACCACCGAATGTGAACTACCTTTGTTTATACCGAGATTTNGTGTCTGATGCAGAAGCTGATAGCTTGAGATGTGATACCACCGAATGTGAACTACCTTTGTTTATACCGAGATTTATATTCTATCTACAGGAATCTCACTAAATCTCAATGCTGCAAAGGAAAGATTGATGAAAGGTGTCCTATGTGCATTGACGATAGAATTGCTTTGATATTCAGACGTCCCTTTTTTTTTTTTTTCCTAAGACTGTCTGATTGCCGTAAAGGCAATTTGCATTATCCGCAAATATCTGTACAGTGTGCGAGCACACACGTCTTTTGCATCTTTTACTTTTATATTGTTGTTATCATTCAAATGCTATGAAATCATGGAGAGTTTTTATCATTCAAATGATTTATGAGCATGCATTCATTTGAAAGACTTGAGTCTGAGAGTTTTATTTTTATCTTACAGTGGTCCGTCCAGGTTTGATTGGGATCAAAGTGCTCAGGCATGGATTTATAGGCGGACTAAAGCAAACTTATCAGAAGTTTTGGAAAGTGAGTTGGAACAGCTGTGTGGTCAACCCATCAGGCTTTCTTAATTTGTTTCCAATGCCATGAAATCATGGAGAGCTTTCACTGGTTACTGTTTTTGTTCTTGACTTGGTCATCTCCCTTTCTTTCTCGTTTGCATATAACTTTATTTGCGTATTTCACTCAACTCTATGAGTATTCCATTGAATAGCGAACTTCAAAAACTTGATCTGCTAGTGTTAATATACGGAGAGAGATTCTCGATTTCTTTGTTTATTTATATGCCCTTGAGATACAAGTTTAGTTTCCGTCTTTCTTCAGTTAATTTTGAAGGGCTTAAATATTTGGACATGAGCTCTGTGCTTCTCATGAAACCTGCTATGAAGCTGGTCAATTTATTCTGATGCTGGAAGGTCTGGAGCTTGATGAACAGATGTTTTCAGATGAATACCAGCATTTAATATTTCTTTGTACAAAAAATGGAATTGATGGTGGTAGCTTTTTTTTTTACTAGGGGATCCCGATACCATCAAATTTCAAATGCTATTTATTTTGAATGAACCATGTATCCATTTTTTGTAAAGAAAGAGGGCTACTTCAAGAGCTGCTTCTAATAACCGAAAAGGTTCACAACGAGTTTAGTCTGTAGTGAGGGAATGTTTTCGTTGGAGGGGTCTGTCTCCATGGAACGAGTATGTACAACCACTTGGAGCACCTTTATTCATTCTTAGTGCCTGGAATAAGGGGGATCCCCAGGGAAGGCTCGGGGTACAACCCGACAGGAAAGCTAGTTACTCACCAAGAGATTAGCTGGAACGGAGAATAACTTCATAATTCCTCTGGTAAAATCCTCTGATACTAGAGAAAATTGAACTTGCTTTCTTGCCTGGTAGAGGAAGGTGTTGCCAGTTGCAAGCAGGTGGTCTAAATTGTAGTTGATTCATCTTGTATTTCCGAAACAGAAATGGAAGAGGGTGTTAAAACCAACGTTGACTAGATCGCAGGTCAATTTGGTATGTGGTAGGGGTATGTAGTACAATAATTTGTTCGGTGCGCGATATGTTCGAGATTGATGTAATTAATATATTGTTTTGAGTCGAGCTGAGCAGTGGTTCGTTTTTTACGTCATATAGAATTGTACATCCATATACTTATCATAACTAGTAAGTATTTTATATTTTTAACGACAAATAAAAAAAAATACAATTCAAGATAATGTTAAAGACAATGATTTGTTAATGACAAAAGTTAATTGTACATATTCGTATTATGGAATAATTTCAAATCACAACTCCTTAGAAATGAGTTTAAAAACACCAAAA